TTTTTTCATTCTGTTTATAATGTGTCCCAAGAATTTTGGCGGTTGGGCGCTTCGTAACCATTCCATGTCCCAGCCTGTTTCATTCGTTCACGCGCACACACTCGCACACACACTCGCACACGCACACAGAGTGAGTCTCTGGGAGATGCAATGGGGGGGGGGTCCTCCCTGGGACCTTTCTGGCTTCCTGCCACCAGGAGCCGCAGAACACAAAACTTACTTCAGCGTTTCCAGGGACGCCAAGCGAGGAAGGACGCGGGTGAGGGACCTCACCCCTTCATCTCCGAGGGGGGAGGACCACCAGGGGTGCCGCTTCCTGAGGATCTCAGACCTTGGTGCCTAAGCCTGGCATCTGACAGAGAGCCCCCCCCCCACCATTCAAAGACACTCCCGGGGTGGACTTGGGAAGTTGACTTGGGGAGGGGCTCTTTGGCTCACTTACTCCAAGTGCTGAAGAGCCGAGAAGGCCACCAAAGAATCCGCCAACTTTCGGAAGCCCTCCAAGCCGCAGCTGGGCCCAAGGCTGCAAGGCAAGTGGTGGGGGGGAAAGGGGGACAGTGGGTGCTGGACTCCTGACCCAGCCCCCCCCCGCCCCCCCGCCAAGCGACTCCTTCCCTTGCCCTTTCTTTGGCCCAGAAGCCACCAACGCCCCCTGAGGCGCCTGCCTGGCAGCCCAGGAGGAAATCGGGTGTTCCGAGGTAGACTGCCCCAGCACAAGGAGGTCCTGCTTTTAACAAACAGTTGCCTGCTGTTGCTGCATTCTGCTCTTAAAATGCACCTGTGAACTTACCTGAATTCTAGTTGCAGGAACCCAGCGATGGCTGGAATAAGACGAACGCCGGAACCCGCAGAGTCTTCCCTGCTGGACCAAACATGGGGTTGGAGGCAAAGGCGGTCAGGGAAGAGCACAGAGGGCGGGACCAGTGGCAGCCTCTGGCCGAAGCTCACCAACGTAGCCAAGCTACGGGGGCCCAGAGGTGGTGCTCTCGCCTCACCATCAGGAGGTTGTGAGTTCAATCCTCGGTAGAGGCTAATATTTGGAATAGACTCTCCTGCTTGAGCAGGGGGTTGGACTAGATGACCTCCAGGGCCCCTTCCAACTCTGTTGTTCTATGTCTATGACATATCCTCCATCTTTGCACCCCACCTTCAGCTATGCCTCTGCTCAAAGCCACCCCAAGCCACTTTCTCCTGGTGCCCAGAGTAGGCCTGGGGCGGAGGAGCCGAGCGCCTCCCCAGATCCCTGATCCCCAAGGCAGGCCTGCAGGGGGCCTGGCATTCCCCCCCACCACCAGGAGAACCTCCCTCCAGCTGGCCTCGGGGGCTGCCTGCGTGGGGCCCTCTGGGGGCCTTACCCTTCGGCCATGTCTCTCTGCAGCTGCACCAGGGCGAGAAGGGCGTCCACGTCCCCCATCGTCTTCGCCCTGAAGGGCTCCACCAGGAACTTCTCCAGGGCTGCCTGCAGGGCTTCCCTCTCCTGGGCGCCCCACAGGTGCTTCCAGAGCCCCACCGCTTCCCTGAGGGACACCCTGCAACAAGAGTCCGTGAGGCTGCCTTCTTCCTCCTCCTCCTCCTCCTCCGCTGCAGGCAGCTTCCCTGGCTCCTCCCGGGTTCAGGGCGGTTCTGGTTCTGCCTTTCCCTTGGGAAGATCTTGGGTTTGGATCTGGCCTTGATGGGCACAACTGCAACGCTAGCCGGACCAGGATCTGATCTTGGCTTGAGGCCCCGACAACACCTCCTCTCCCCCTTCCCCGTCCTGGATCGGTTCCCTTCAAGTGAAGATTCCTTGAGTGGCTCCAAAGATGGTTTTTATGGGCCCACTAAGATCACGGGGGGTCAACCAAGGCACCGTCCACATAAGGACAAATCCCTCAGCAGTGACCTCTGGCTTTGAGAAGCCGTCCAGGGGTCCTTCCAGCCTCCCTCCTCCCCCGAGATCCCTGCTCGGTGGGCCTTTCCTCCCAACGCCTGGTCCTCGTGACCTGAAGGCCCAGCCCCCGCCCAGGCGCGGCCCTCCAAGACCCTCCGCCCACCTGAACTTGGTGACGTTCTTCAGGCCAACCAGCTTCCTGAGTCCATCCAAGTGGATGCCGGTCCCCCTCAGGTCTAAAGAGAACTTCTTGGGGGACGTTCCCAGCACAGCGTGCAGGACGCTGACATCTGGCGGGGCGAGTGAGAAGCCCACGAAGGAGAGGTCCGGCCGGAGCTCCAGGGCCAAGTGCTTCCGGAGGGGCTGATCTTCGGTTTCATGGACACAGTGGAGCAGCTCCAGCAACTTGTCCGGCCTGAGATCCCTCAGGGGAAGTTTCCGGATGAATCTGGAGAGGCTCCTCTGCTTCCTTGCGATCAGGTTCTCCGTGTCTTCTAAGTCACCCCCCTTACCCAAAAGGAGAGAACTGCTGAGGTCGTCCTTTAAGAACAGCAACCCGGACAAGAAACGGGGCACCAGGCCCCACGAAGAGAGAAATTTCCGGAACTTGGCCCCCAAACCAAGGAATTTGGTGAGTTTTTTGCCCTTGATCTCTTTGGCCAGAGTCAAATGCAGGGCCACCAAGAAATTCTGGACAGCGAAGTTGGAGAAGACGCAAACGCCCCGCTGCTCCGCCATGAGTCCCGTTCTGAGAGCGAGCTCCTTCGCGTCTGCGGAAGGGAAGTGCTCGCTCAGGAGGGCCCTTTGGTAACGCTGCCCGAGAGACCAAGAGACCTCGGCCAGGGCAGGGATGGCCTGGCACCCGGAACCTGCCGCCTTCTGGAGAAGGTAGGTGGCGAAGAGGCCCGTGAGGGTGGAGGGCAGCTCTTGGCCTCTCCTTTCAGACGCCGCCTGGCCAATGAACCGGCAGAGGCCGGGATTGCAGCAAAGGCTGAGCAGGTAAGGGGAGCTCCTGATGGGGTTCGCCTCCTGCTCCCAGGGGGAAGAGCCCTCGAAAGAGCCGGAGAGGCAGAGCGCGGCCTGCTCCGGGGAGAAGCCCACCACCTCCAGGACCGAGTCCACCCGGGGGAAACACGGGGGGAGCCTCCCTTTGCGCCGTCCGGTCAATAAGAAAGTGCAGCCGCTGAGCCCCTTCCTTTGGAAGAGGGGGGCCAAGGTGGCACCCAGGCGGTGGGCTCCCCTGCCGGCCGGGCTCCCTGACGTGGAGGAGAAGCCCTCGGGATCCTCCTTCAGGTCTTCCATGCCGTCAAAAAGCAGGAGGAGCCGCTCTGGCTTCTGCAAGAGGCTGTGGTAGACGTCATCGACGCCCTGGCAGGAGCCGCCCAGGGAATCCGAGAGCAGGGCCCGGAAGTCGTGGCAGGAGCCCTGCAGCAGGCTCAGCCTCCGGCAGTCGAATCGGAAGACGAAGTCAAACTGGGGCATCCGGCCATCGGCCCAGTCCAGGCAGATCTTCTGCACCAGGTGGCTTTTCCCCGTGCCGGCCTTGCCCAAGACCAGGATGACTCTGCTGCCCAGGCCGGGTTTCCTGGTGCCCTGGAACAAGTGGCTCCTCTCCACGGAGGCCTGCTCTCCCAGGTGGCAGCGCCTCCGACCCGCACGCCTCCCGCCCCTGCCGTCCAGGTGATGCTGCACCAAGTCCTTCTCCAGGTACACGAAGGAGGGTCCCGGGGGCTGCCCAGGCCCCGGACGGCATTCTCTGCGGAAATGCTCCTTCAGCCGCTTGCAGAAAGCCCGCCCCGACCCTAGGGAAGGAGGACAGGCAGGGAGGGGGGCAGGGAAGGAAGCTCCAAAATCCTGCTCCTCGGATGACTTCGGCTTCGCTGCTGTGGTGGTCCTGAGCTCCAGCTGGCTTGGAGTCTGCTGGTGGGAGGCCAAACGAGGAAAGTCACCTGGGCAGGTTGGGGGATCTGCAGGCAAGCAGGGTTGCTGGGCGTTTCCGAAGGTGAAGATCATCTGGATGTTGCTCCCGTGGCGTGGGATGCACCAGAGCTGCCCATTGGCAGAGGGCCCTGGAAGAGAGGGAGAAGGAGGTTGGCTCTCAGCCCCCCTCCCCCCTCCCCCCCTCCCCCCTCCCTCCCTCCCAGGTCAAGCAGGAATCCCCGCAGGGCCACTGCAGGGCTGGGGCCTCTGGAGGGGCTTTCGTGTACCGAGCGCTTCTGGAGATCTGCCCGCAGGGCCCACGGAGGCCACCAAAACTTGCACGTGGAAGTCGCCTGGAGAGCCGGTGCCATCCTGGCCGGGGCGAGGGGGAGTGGCGAGGGGGTCCCCGCTCACAATGCACAGAGCCGGTGGGTGAGCTGCCAAAGAAAAGGAAGGTCACCCAGGCTGCCCCAAAGCCAGGCAAGGTGGGCTCCCTCCCCTCCCTCAGCAGCCCAGGAAGACCAGGGTGGGTGCTTGCCCCCAACTGGCTGGAAGGTGGAGGCCCCTCCTCCGCTCAGCCAGCACCAAACACGGGAAGTTTCCGGCTTCGTTTCCTTGCTGGCTGGGGATGATGGGAGTTGAAGCCTCAGGCTTGGGGAAGGGCTGTTTTGCAACCCCTGGGTGGCTTGCCATCTTGTAGGAAGGGGAAGGCAGGAGCGGAAGGCCCAGATCTGGAGGGGGAAGGAAGAGGGCGAGGCAGGGGCCATGCCAGCAGCCGAGGGGAAGGGGCTTGGGGCAGGGGGCCCGATCTCTGCACCCCCCCCGTTACTAAAGAGAAGCCGCCACCGAGGGAGCAGCCCACTCACCCAGCCTCTGGCGCTTGGCTTCGGGGGCCTCCGAGGATGGTCCTGCAGGGGGAGAGGCGCCAGGTGGAGCAGGCCACGTCTCTGCCAATGATGCCCTTCTTTGGCCAGGGGGCTTAGCAAGAACCTGAACCCGCCTCCGTCTCCCTCTAGCACCTGGAGCCTCTGGAAAGCTGGACCAGCTCAGCCCTCCTTCGCCCGGCTCTCTCACTTACCCCAGGTTTTGGCCTCTGCGCAGCCCCCAGGCCCTTCCGCAGCCCCCACCTCCCAAAAGAGGCTTTCTGGGGATGAAGAGAAGAGCGAGAGATGACTTTTAGCACGGGGGGGGGGGGGGGGGGAACAGATGGGGAAATAACGGGGGGAGACATCCCAGGATCAGGCAAAGCCCAAGGAACCAGTTCTCATGAAGGACGGGAGGAAGGGAGGAACCAGATGGGCCCGGAGCCCTTTGCCCAGGGAGGCTCTCCTGCTCAGGCAGCTCAGGGAGGAAAGGGCCCCTTTTCTGCCCCCCCCCCCCCGCCCCCCCCTTCCCGGGGGGAGGCCAGCCCCCCGGGGGGGGGGGGGCTGAGTGTGGCCCCTGGAAGCGAAGCGGGCTCACCAAAATGCTCGTCCACCGGGGCATCTTGCTGGTCCTTCAGCAAATATTCAGCCAGGGCAGCTAAAGGTGAGGGGGGAGGGAAACATGACCAAATGCCAGGCACTACAAATCCAAAGTGCACCCCTCCCCCATCAGTGTGGGGACATTGTGCCCCCCCTTCAATTCAGCTCCTGGAGGGGAGGGGCCCTTTGGTGCTGTGGAAGGGGTGGGGTGGTGCCCCCCCCCGATGAACTCAGCTGGGCATCCCGGGGTGCCCTCTGGGCAGGGGGGGCTCCTGGGTCAGGTAAAGCTGCTGCCCTGACTGGAGACGGGCCCCGATCCCCATCAGCCGCTCCTCCAAAGGGGTGGCGGGGTGGCCTTTGTGCCGCCTGGGTTGCCTCCCGCCTTCTTGGGTCCAGGCTGTGAGCCAAGGGAGGGCACTGCGTCTGCCCGGACGCGCCCTCAGGCCGCTGTGCCCCCGCAAGGGGGACCCACCGATTTTGTTGTAGGCCTCCCCCATGTTGGAGCAGAGGCAGACGACTTCTCCGCTTTCGTCCCTCTCCACCGTGTAGAAGACCTCGGTGCTCTCTGGATCCTCGCTGACCGCCTCAGGCGCTTGAACTGTGGGGGAGAGAGAAGAGGCCACTCGAGACCCCCACAGAGGCTGGCGCTCCCTGCCCCCCCCCGCCTGCCGAGAGACAGGCTGCCCTCCCAGGGGAAGCGGCAGGGAAGGCGGCTTCCTTTAAGCCAGGCTCCAGCACCTGCGGGCGCCATCTCAGCCATCGATGGTGGGGGGCTCTCGCTCTGCAGGCAGTGGGTCTCCGGTGGGATCCCTCCAGGGCTCAGGTCACCTGATGCGGAAACAGCAGGGAGGAGAAAGTAGACCAAGCTCTGAAGAAGGCGAAATACTTCGGTCTCTACCTGGGCTGCTTTAGGTGGGGGGAGGTTGCTTTGAGGACATCCCACCACCTGCTTTGGGGAGAAATGATTAAATAGGGAGAGAGAGAGGTAGGTAGGTAGGTAGGTAGGTAGGTAGGTAGAGAGATAGATAGATAGATAGATGATAGATAGATAGATAGATAGATAGATAGATAGATGATAGAGAGATAGAGAGATAGAGAGATAGATAGATGATAGAGAGAGAGAGAGATGATAGATAGATGATAGATAGATGATAGATAGATAGATAGATAGATAGATAGATAGATAGAGAGATAGAGAGATAGATAGATAGATAGATAGATAGATAGATAGATAGATAGATAGA